GTTGAAAGATTACGGAAAATAAAGAGAATGTCCTTTTTTGCGTTTCACCTTTTCGTTGCGGTCGCTGTGTGTCTGTCTGTGTCGCCCCTGCCGTTGGCTTCGCTGGCTCGGAGTTGGAAGATCCCATTATTTTTAAAGGGGTGAGCGGTAGTCGCTCTTGCGTCATCAGTAGGCGAACAATATGGCGTTCGCGGTCATAATGGATTAGGACGGCGGAAGGCGCCAACAGCGAGTGATACGCGTAAGTTATCATGACTAAAGGCAAAGATAATAAATATGACAAGACAATAAAACAATTTTATAACTTTTTGGTTTTAGCAGAGTGCATATTTCAATTCCATGGTTTCATTGATTTGTACATTTCGGTTATCGTCTTTGTTAGATAATGTTTTTTTAAAAAAAATAGTCATCTGCGATAACTCTTTTTTTTTTTAAGGAGAAGGGTAGTGTAGCGTTTGAAAGCTACTTGGTATTTAGTTGTGAATTTTATTTAAAAATGTCTTGGAGCAGCAGGTTGTACAGTACCGTTGATGACGTAGCTTAACTGTTGAAATGTATTTTTACCAGACAACCTCTCTCAGTTGTAACCTTGATTTTGCTACTCGCCAAATTTAATATTGTTTCCAGCTGATAATCTTAAACTGTTTATTATTATTATTATTATTATTGTTATTTTGTAAGATTATTGTGCAATATTTACAATGTTACCGTTTAAGGCTATATTTGAGGTTTAATAATGAGATGTAAATAATTTTAAGTTAAGTTAATGTTGTATACAGGCCCTTAGGTTTGTTGCTAAATTCATGCTCCGAATGTCATGTCATTCCTTCCTGTCGTTCTCCAAGCCACTTTTCTGAAGGTGCTCGGACGGTACGGTTTTTCAAATATATTTGTCAAATACCTGCAAAAATATATTTTGACAGGACACCGAAGAAAATGCCATAAAATAAAAACTTTGAGGACGTCTGACCCCCTTTTTGCAACGAACTAGACGTCTGACGATTTACATACGTTATCTGTGACCTTCAAACAGATAATGTGCAAAATTTCTATAAATTTTGAGCTTTGGGAAAACAGTTTAGATGCTTCTTAAAATTACAACTTTGCCTGCGTCCCAGAGCCAGCTGTCCCGGAACTGTGAGTGCTGACTGTACACTAGCATTCTAGCACTAAAGAACGACCTATTTTGAAAATATCCGCCTTGCGAAAACTCTTGCATGTTTTTGGCGCCACCTCTTGGACTATAAGGCATCCTGCCTAATTTCGCCTTGTATTATAGCTTAAAGTGCATTTGGATGGCCTGGGAGATGCCCTTCATCAATATTTTCGTGGTCGAGCCACTCATTTTCTGTCCAGATCCTTGATTTTCAAGGTAAGCTTGCTTCAGCTATGATATTCCTTAAATCACCATGCAAGGGTTGTTATAAAAGATAAATATAATTATTCGGATCTACCGAGGGGCCCCAACTGTAGTGGTGTCACCAAAACCACTACAATTTTATCTACGAGAGTGTGCAGCTCGCAGCCTCGAGCACCTTTTGGCATGTCTTCATGGTGGCTCTTATGAGGGTTTTTTAATTGAACTCACTCTAGATGGACATGGATTAAAAAGGTTTTTTTATAATTATAAGGTTAACTTTATGTCTTAAATTCTTGGATTTAATTAATAACTTTTGGTCCTGATCAGGCCAAGCAGTCAAGGGTTATATTGTACTGTTACATTGCACATGGTTCAATGAACTGTTAGGGAACATTTAAGCTTTTTTTAGATATAAGGATTAGGGAAAATTTCAGCTTTTTAGGTTTAAGAATTTAATGAGGGATATACATTTTTGCACTCAGGCTTTAACAAACATCAAAGTTTCAATTAATAAACAAAACTAAGTGCAGACAGTTGTTACAATAATTATTTTTGGATTACCTATTTTTCAGATTTCTTTTATTATGCAATTTTTGATAAAGTTCATTTGAGGATTTGGAACTTAAAATTTAAATCTTCTGACGCCCACTAAAGACACTCCTTATCCACTCTAATTATGCTCTCTGGCGAACAGCTGCCACTGCAGTACCTTTTTTTGTTAAAAAAGAGGCTACATCCTATTTTATTTTATTTCTTATTTTATTTTATTTTATTTTATTTTATTTGTTGGATAAACCCGGCATTAGTGTTTACTTTGGTACACCCTGTATAGTTGAAGATCTGAAAATATTTTAGATGAAGCCGAAATGATTGATTATGGCTACACACCAAATTTGAAGTTTATAATCCACCTGCAAGCTGGAAAACTTCTAAGTAACGGGCTACATAAATCACCCTGTATAATAGATTTCTACCACTAGTGGTAAAATTTTACCGATAAAATTTTTGAAATTTATACGAAAGCTTTTTGCTTGGAAATTTGGCAAGTGGCATTAATTTCATAAGACCCCGAGCTGCCAGGCGAGTGGTTTTAAATTAATGCCACGTGCAAAATTGCCTAAAAGCAAAGTAAATAAAAATCAAAAAATTTTTCACTAGTAATACCACTAGTGCCTAAATTATTTCCGGAAATTTTTACGAATTCTCGAAAATTGTCCCGAGTCGAAGACGAGGGATAATTTTCTTAAAATATTCGCGAATGAGAAAAAATTGCCGGATCATAATTTAGGCACCCGTGGTATTCGGTAAAAAAATTTTAAACCTCCAAATAGCAAATTACCTGCACATTACCTGACAGAAATGCCTATACCTGCCATGCAAATATGTCAATTAAAAAATTTGCAGTGTAATCACGCCCAGGGTACCCACCAAGAGAAAAATTTCCGGAAATTTTTCTGGTTGTCGTGGAAACGTTTCAAAATAACAGGCTTTGATTGGCTTAAGATACTGGTTTAAAATTTTCAGGGAAAGTTTTACCAGGAGTGGTATTCGGCAAGACTAGGTATTTCACGAACATTTTGAATTTAAAATTTAAAATGTCAATATTGAGTTAGTTATAGATACCCTTTACACAGCCTCTTATGCTGAGAATCATATGTAACAAGGATACGAGCTGCAGCGTTGATAATTTAATCTGCTTACTAATCATTTTATTCCTTATTTAAACTATTGTTAATTAAATGAGGGCGTCTTTTTGCATTTGTACTTTGACAAAGAATAAAGTCCCTGCTTGTATAAATTTTTGTATTTTTAAAAAGTGACTTGTCCTAACCGAACCCAAAATTAGTTAGGTATTTGAATAATATGTGACATCAAAGAATTACCGAAAAATAGTGGTTTTTTCGAGCGGTTTTATCGTGAAAAGTTAAAAAACCACCCATTTTGTGAAATGTGATTGGTCCAAAAAGTATTGAGTGAAAGAGTCAGGAAAATAATTGTTTATAGTGAAGTCTTTAGAAGATCTATAGAAGATCTTGAGAAAGAGATTTCCCATGTTTTCCATTAAATTTAAAATTCATGCAATGCCCCAACAGTGAACAGGATAATGTTATAAAATTAAAACAAATTGCAAACTTACCCTCTGGAATTCATCAATGTAGGAAGCTAGCTCTGAAACCGAATTGGAAACCACCCAAGTAACACAAAACATACATTAGATGTTTATTTTTTATCTAGATCATACATCTAGATACTGTATCGTTCGACGTCATATAGACGTCTACATGTCCGCCAGATAAACGTCTATGAATAATCTATGTCCTACTGAAAATCGATGTATTTTTTAAATCAGATTTAGACGTTATATAATACGTGTTTTTAGACGCATTATATTGAGTGTTTTTAGACGTCTTTTATATGTCTTTGTTAAATATACACTGTGGGCCAAATTAAGTTGGAACACAATTTGACCAATAATAACTTTTATGTCTGTTTATGGATTTTAATGATTTTTGGATATGATATTAGTCAATATGTTTTTGTTGCAACCTTAAAATTAATTTGACCAATTTTGGTCAGGTCCGGACTTACGACGATTTTACTAAATCGGTGTATTTAAGTTCGTTGCAAAAATGAACTGCACTATAGTGCAGTTTGTAAGTATTGAAGAAATTGATTGTGGATGAAGCCCCCTTCATTATCGACTACGGTCTGTAAGCGTCTTCTCCATTGGCTATGATCCGTTGACTGGCATTTGAATAAAATATTGACATTGATAAATAATTCAAAAATAAAAAATGCCTGACAGTTTTCAGTGACCGAAAAGGTGGGAGGTAGGGGTCAACTTGCAAGACAAAAAAACAACTTTCCACATTTTCTTTGCTCCGCTACGCGTCGTTCGGTCAAATGCAATCGCGTGCGGTAAAGTGACACTTTCCGAACTAGTTAGGAAATATACTATTGAATTAAACAGCTTAATGAAATGTCAAAAATTTGACAATTGTCTGATTCCAAAGCAATCTGGATTAAAGTAATGTAAAATTTCCTATTTGAATTACATATTAGTCAAAAAAATCATAGTTTCTCAGGTTTTGGTTCTAAAATATTTATATTTTCAGGATTTGTTTTCCCATAAATGTCCTTCTGAAAAATAATAATAGTTGGTTTGTAAGTAGTGCAGTTCATTTTTGCAACGAACTTAAATACACCGATTTAATAAAATCGTCGTAAGTCCGGACCTGACCAAAATTGGTCAAATTAATTTTAAGGTTGCAACAAAAACATATTGACTAATATCATATCCAAAAATCATTAAAATCCATAAACAGACATAAAAGTTATTATTGGTCAAATTATGTTCCAACTTAATTTGGCCCACAGTGTATATTTTAATTTTTTATAGATGTTTTTTAAACGTCCTTTATTTTTTTCATGCCTCTTTATGGGCATATTTTCTTCAAAAAAAAAAAAATAACTATTATAAAAATGGAGAGCTGAAAGTAATTGTCAGTTTTAGTCGTGTTATTCAGGCTTTTTGTGATTCTGAGTTACTTAATTTTTTTTTGCAAGCATAATCTGTACGAACATGGATGTATACCTACTATAATTGGTCATAATAAAAAAACTATACCTACATTAATCGGGGATAGCTATATTACTAAAATTTTCATTACAAAATTATATTTATTAATTTAGTAACTTAATTGAGATGATTTGTATATGAAACAAATATATTTATATACGAATTATATTGTTTTTCTTTGTGCCGCCAATCTTAGCCAGTCCTTCATGGCTTGATTAATGACCTTATCATTCATATCCGAAGGTTTTCCATTTCCAGAAGAAAAGCAAAGCTCAGTGGCTTCTGAAAATTAAATAATCAGTTTTACTATCGACCCTATACTTACTTAATATTACCATAAATGACATCTTTTAACTTGGTGGCTTTGAAGGCTTTCTTATTCTGGCCTGCCCAGTTAAACTTCGTCGCTAATCTATTGGTGATGCAAAATTTTAACATGCCCATTACTGTGGTTCTCACGTTAAGGCCCCCAATACACGCTAGACGATTTTTCTAAAAAAATAAAAATAAAAATAAAAATAGATCTTACAGATAGGTACCCACATATCAACTTATCAAACTTATTCATTTAGGGCCAAATTATGGACCAATTGAAAAGTGTCAGGTTGTTACCTAGCAGGTACTTTCTATTCTCTAGAGCATGGAAAGTTCCTGCTAGGTAATAACCTGACACTTATCAGTCGGTTCATAATTTGGCCCTTAGAAAGGTTAGTAGTTTGCTTACCAAATAAGTGTGCATTGGCTCATCCAATAGAAGTTCTTCCAGTTTTTGGAAATCTGCTTTCCTGTCCACAGGCAGTATCGGAAACTCTTCTGGTTTTGACACGTGCTTTAGTTTACTTTCATTCAGAAATTTCCACATCTGGTCGATTTTAAGAGTGTTCTGATCTTGTACTTCAGTAAGTTTCTGCAAATGCTGAATAACAGTTGCCTCGAAACCTTTTTTTGGAGTTGTGGAGGAAGATGATGTACTTGGAACACAACTTTGGGTAGCAATTTTGTCATTATTAGGTTTTGAAAATCTGCTTTGTGAAAAATTCAGGGTATTATTCTGGGGAAGAATGACATTTTGCAAAACCCGTATTTTTTTTTTAGGCTCCGTTGCAACATTTGAATTTGTCCTAAAATTCAATAAATTGTGTTATTATTTTTCCTTTTCCTATATTTATAAGAATTTGCTATACATGCATCCTAACGATTGGGAATCTGAATTAATATTTTCATTGCTTCAAATAGATTCAATATGGTTATATTATTAAATTTAATTTTAGTTCTTGATCTAAGCAATTAGGTTTTGAAGAATTCCCATGTCTCTCAGAATTTGTATTATAATAATAATAATGTTTTTTATGTATGAATTTTTTGTATCTTGTCATTCAGATGCCCTACCATCTTACTCATAGTTAAAGGTTTTAGTAAATTTAAAGACTTACTCCTTGACCCTCGCGTTCTTTGAAGATTCCGCCTTTGAAGGAAAATTATTCCAACTTTCATCTTCAGATGCAGCGAAAGTTGTTTTGAGTTTTTCAGTTACTTTGATAGTGCTGGGTGTATTGTATCCTTTATGCGATTTTTCATCATCATCACTACTGGAAGAATTGGGCCACACGTTATTTTCTCTGCAGACAATTTTTTTCTTTTTGGCTTTCAAGACTGTTTTTTTTCCTCTTGATGCACTACAAGTTTATGAGGGAGATTTGATATTAATAATTAAAATTTTGTAAGTACAATATTAAATTATTACCTGGATTTACTAGAATCTACTTTTAAAGTTTTCTTTCTTTTTGCCAAAGGTAAGTCCTCGGAAGAGTCAGAGGAGTTTTTGGATGGAACATCATCTTCATCCATCAATTCATTTATATTTGGATCACTTTTACTGGATAAAAAAATATATATGTAAGTTTAAATATTGTTTAATATTTTTGCTGTTATTATATATTAATTAATTTTTTTAGGTATATACCTATTATGAAATTCAGAACCCCTTTCCGTCATGTCATCACTTGAATTCCCTGAATTCCTATTCATTATTTCTCTTCGAACTAAAGAAGACGTCAGACAATTCACTGATTCGGAATTAGTAGATTCTTCAATAATTTGTGATAATCTTCTTTCACAATTTTCAATTCCCTCTAAAACATATATAGAGATTTTATTGACTAAAATTTTATTCCAGAATGGACTTCAGAACTAGAGTTATCTAAATTATAACTATATTAATAAAATTTAGAACTTAGAACTACTCTAACTACACAGAATAAGCAACTTCATCATGGAAGGTGCAATAAAACGTTATGCAAACCTAAGCCTGCTATATTCAAATATATTATTATGTAGGGTACACAAACCTAAAGTATCATGAATTTTGATAATCATATGCTGGGACCAATCTTCCTTGGGTGGAGCATATTCAGAAACCAACCTTGGAATATTAGCTTTAGGCCAGAAGCAATTATTTCCACATATCCACGTCATTGGAACAATCGCACAATCTTTTTTCTCAAATTCAACAATGGCATATGTTTGCGCCATTATTATTGCTTAATCTTCTGCGTCTATGAGGATTGGATATAAACGGGAAGCTTATAGATTGAGGAAAAGTCTCACTTAAAATACCAATTTTAAAACGCCGTTATTTCAAGTAATATTCGGTAATAACAATTAAAAATTTAATCAATGTAGGTACATACTATAATTATATGGGTACTTAATTTGAACTTTCGTTTTATTGAAATAATTTTTTGACAACCATGCGTAACTATATATTATTATATACCCAAAGTAGGTTCTTAGATAATTTTATAGTCAATCCATAAAATATTACTTTACGTACCTACCGACGTCTTGAGACATAAGCCACTACTAAAAATTGTGTACTACTCCCAAATAATTCCAGATTTAGGTTTTAGAAGAAAGTATTTGCGAGTAATTTGTTGAAACGCTGAGAATATATTTTGAACAATAAAATGTACTCTATTTACCTATCCAATGAACCAATTACATATTATACAATTAACTCCTAATTTAAATTTATAGTAGGTAAGCAAAATTTATTTTTTGATACTCCTATGCTATAACACAATAAATATATTCTCAGCACTTCCACTCTCCAGTCTCGGCTTGGCCCTGAATTAAAATATACAGGGTGGGACACGAAAAACTTCCCACCCAGATTTTTTCAGGTGTTAGGTGATTAATCAAAAACCGCTCGGACACGTCAACTTTTGTTTTTGGGGGACACATTTCATTAGTACTTTCACCCCCTATCTGTCAACCCCTAAGTGGGGGTGACAGGTACACCCAAAATTTCAAATGAAAAGGGAGGTCGAGTGATAGGTCATTTGATAGCTATTTTTATTAAGATTATATCCACAGAAGTTTTAAGCTGCTACTATTTACCCTGCCGAAATGGTGGCTTGTCAAAGTTAGGAAAAATGTATGCTTCAACTGATACAGTGATTCTATCTTGAATTGAATCAACATGAACCATTTCAAGCTGAACTGTTGAATAACAATACTTAAATTAAATAACAATGTTATTTTGTTACTATGGATAACAAAATATGCTGTTTCGTTATTATGAGGTGAAAACCACACAGTCTAGGTATTCGAAAAAATGCATTTTTCCCAACTTTGACAAGCGCCATTTCGGCAGGGTAAATAGTAGCAACTTAAAACTTTGGGGATTTAATCTTAATAGAAATAGCTATCAAAAATGACGTCTCAGTCGACCTCCCTTTCCATTTGAAATTTTGGGGGTACCTGTCACCCCCACTTAGGGGTTGATAAGTAGGGGTTGAAAATATACCAATAAAATGCGTCCCCTAAAAAACAAAAACTTACGTGTCTGAGCGATTTTTGATTAATCACCTAACACCTGAGAAAACCTGGGTGGGAAGTTTTTCGTGCCCCACCCTGTATAATCTAATCCATCTTAAACTGCCTTATAAGGCTTTAGTACATGGGAGCACAAGTTGTGTGTAAAATTGGGAAAATAATGAAACCGTCTTTATATGCTGTTGCTATACATTTGAACATTATGCTACTTATAGTAAAATTTTCCACTTTTCCTGTTCCTCTGACAAAATATATGTTCAATTTTGAGGATTCTATGGGTTTTTCATAAAAATTGTACATATATTTAAAAGGTACGCCTGAGCACCAGTAAACGCTATTTAAAAAATAAATTGATTTTATTGTAAATATTTTTTTGCGAACTGCAACTATATTATTAGGTTTTTTTAAAGATAAAACAAATCTGTCATTATAATATTTTATGCACTGAAAATAACCGTTTTCTTCCGAAAATACCCCTTTCACATGCTCTTTTATTTTCTTGGAATGATTATTTGAAACATCACTGTTGTTCATTTCACATATTCTATTATAAATTTGTTGCAGAGGGCGATCAGAGGGCGATGCTTTCCTCTAACTCTCCTTTTCAGTTTTCCCAAATAATTCTCATAATCGAAGCAGCTGTAATTTTCTATATTACCATATTTTCTGGGCGTCCTCCACATGCATGAATCAATGAATGTACATTGTACACCACAAAGAATTTTCCGTATATTTCTGCTGATTTATAAACAAAATGAGCTAGAGCTGATTCTGCAATGTCAAGATAATTTTCAAGAAAATAGTCATTCGATAATATAAAGACAGCAGCATGATAATATAAAAAAATGTTCATAAATCGCTGTTGCTCACATTATTTTTCAATAGGATAGGTCCATAATACAACAGGAACATTCTAAATTCTACAGCTTTCCACCTCTTAACGTCTTGCAGAGTTCGTAAGGTTCTACTGAATTCCTCAGGGAACTTCAATTGTTTTATTTGGCAGTTAATGTTGCCTGTGGCAGTTTTGGATAGTCTAATACGTCTTTTTCCTTCAACTAAATATTTTACGAGCAATCGTTTTTGTCACGACCAAGATACAATAAGTGCATCGGATCCAATACAAATTGACTAACTAAACCCAAATTTAACTTTATTAATGGGGATAAACCCTTTAATATGATCACATTTTTGGGGTCTATTTTTGTCAAGTTTTTTTAAGCTCTGGTTTTTCAAAATCAGAATCTTTTCTTTTTGTACTGGTAATATCATTCACGTCGTTAAAATCTTTTATTTTCTATGTATAATGAACTTTGAGTACATCTCTCACACCTAATTTACTTGTGTGCCCCTTAATATTTTTTCAAATAAGACCTGGCTGGTGCATCACAAGGTAAAAAGAGAAATATTGAACTGGTACAAAATGTTATTGTACTTGAATCCAGAGTCTCTTAATTGGTTTGACTCTTCAATAAAATCTAACAAAAATGATTCTATTGGTGTAGGCTTGCCTTTGCCACAAAATACAGCCACAACAAATGGGGCCTTATCGTTTTTAATTTTGGCTAAAATAGGCCAAAATTCAATAGTGCTATTATTATATAGCGGTATCCCATCAATATTTATTTGTATTGAAATTAACGTGTGTTCAATAATTTTTGAATCAATTTTTTTTCTTAAACCAGCTTCGATACCAAATATATATTAGCTCGCCATTTTTCTAAAATCGTCGTCTCAACTTTTCTTGGTTGTTCCTAAAATTGACGTATATCTTTTTTTAAAAACGGGTACTTCGGCCTTATTAGAGAAATTATTTCATTGCAACATTTATGAGGCACGTTATTCTGACAAGCCCATTTCTTAAAACTACTAACAAACGCTTCTTCTTCTATTTTTTGGGAGATTTGTTGACTATTTAATTTTAACCTGTCTTCATTTTCTTTTGAATTTTTTTCATCAAAATATTTGTTGTCAGTAAAAAGTATTTTGATTATTGGGCACATAATAATATTCATCATTTACGTCACGGTCATCAGTTTCATTATCGTCAACAATCATTACATTATCATCGGTGTTTGAAATATTTTCTAATTCTATTGAATTTAAATGAAAATTGTTATTGTTTATTACAATTTGTTCTGCTGCTGAACCAGAGGCTGCATATTTTTCATTAATTATAATATTTTCTATGGCGTTTTTTGTGTTTCTAGAAATACGGCGTCTTAAGTGGCGTTTAGATATAATTTTAAGAGACATAATGGATCAAGGGAATGGAAAGCATTATTAATAGGAAAACTAACAAATCTGCGAGCAAATCTGTAAAAAAAAACACACAGCATTAATTATTTATTATCGTAACTATTTTTTACGAAGGCCGGTGTTACCCAATTCCTTAATTCTTAATTTTTTTTCTTAATTCTTAATCCTTGAAAACACCAATGTTAAATAAATTGAACTTTTTACGAATTAAGAATTAGGGACAAAAATTAAGAATTAAGGAATAGATTACCTAAGTCGTGACGTCATGCCGGCACGTGATCGCCAGTCAACCTTTCCAAACAAACAACGGTTTGCATGTAAAAACCCATAAGGTAATTTTTAATGCCTTCGCATTCTTCAGTTCTACGTGAATAAGGCTTCTGTTTCTGATATTTGGATAAAGTGTGTGTATATCGACTGATTTCTATGTAAAAATTTCCAATATCCGCTGTATTTTCGAGAAATTAAAGAATTTAAGGTTGTTTATGTAGTTGTTTTCAGCCAAATTTGAAAAACCCTCTTCCTAATTAAAGAAATACAAAAATATTTTAGGATTTCCGTAAAGGAGGCATAATTAACTTTCAATCTTCAAGAAAAAACAGTATTAAAGTTAGTTTTCTAATTTATAAACTCGCAAAATAGAAAAAAAAACATAACCTCAACTGTCATTCAGCTATTTATTTCGTCAAAAACTGGCACGGAAGACTTAGGTACCTTGGCAAATATTTTTATGAAAATCGGTCAATACGCGCACACTTTGTCTAAATATCTCAGCTAGAAGCCTTATCCAAACCAAATGGAACAATAAACGGGTAGTAAAAATTCCCTTATGGGATTTTATATATTGTAAACCGTTGTTTGTTTGGAAAGGTTTCTCAAGAGTCAAGCCACGCCTCTTGTGGCGTCAGACTAGCGAATTTTATTGGTAGAACCAGGGCAGAAAAAAATGTATTTTCATGTCTATCTTAAACAAGTTGGTAGAAGAAGACAAATACACTCAGTGGGCACTATCCCTTCCAATAAAATACGTAGTCGGTATTGGCGCCATTTTCATGTTTTTTTTATTATAATAAATACCTAACCTATACACGACACACACATGTACCCAACTTTATGGCGGACACTGTATGACCAAGTTTTTTTTCTAGATAGTAGAAACATTTATTACTGCAATATTAACATTCTTTTCACGATTTTGTATGCCGGTAATGTGAGAAAAAATAAATTATAATTATACTATAAAAAAGATAAAACTAAAAACTTACCCATAAACACACCATGCAAATTGGCGAAACCGATTAATGATTAATCCATCAATCGCGAATACGTACAACCACCAAAAACCAAAAATATACGGCGATTATTCGCGAAAATAAATAGGGAACGGACAAGATTAAAATCGCATTAGCCCTAATCGGCAATCGCACGCCACAACATGGACACCCGCCACAACCACACCAGCAACCAACTGAACCAACAACGTTGTTATAACGAGTAACGACAACGATCGCAGCGACAACCTGGGATGCCAAAATTATCAACTAAAGAGTTTCGTAACGCGCACGCGCAGTCCTCAGCACGTACCGCGAATTAGCGGAATAGTTTAAAACACGTCTAAAATTTACTTGAAAAAGACATCCATTACTTACAAATATTAGATTTCTAGTTTAGATATCTGATAGATGGTGAATATAGATTGATAGATAATGAAATAGATCTAAAAACCGGTGTAATTGTACGTATTGTCTACAAATGGTCTAAAATAGAGGTTTAAAATTTACAGGAATAACGTATTGTCTACAAATGGTCTAAAATAGAGGTTTAAAATTTACAGGAATAAACATCTATTAACGAAGAGTATTAGATCTAGTTTAGACATTTGACATGGCTTTTAAATGTATAAAAGTGTATTTTCCTGAAATAAATAGAAATCTAAAAAACGTCTATTGTACGTATCGTATAAAAATCGTCCAAAATAGACGTCTAAAATTTAATCTAAGTCAGACATAGATGCAATTTAGATGCCATAGATGTGTTTTAAACCACAAATAGATCGTTTCGTGTTACTTGGGCATGTCCGTATTTTCGTGTGGTTCATTAGAAGTACTTGTTGGCAATGTGGATGTTTCCGTATCTCCTCTTGTTCGCGGAATAGCCTGTGAAGCTATTCTTCGTCTCTCTCTTCCTCTCACAATGGTAGACAATATACCATCATCAGGGGCGGATCTTTATCTTTAACGGGCTTTGTAAACAAATAAAACTTTAATCGGCTAACTCCTGTTTTTTCGAAATAATCTTCAACCGTGAAATTAAATTCAACTGGGTTGCATATAAAATCTAGAAGCTGTACCGTAAAATTATCTAATGGACCTTTCTTAGATATCCCGTTTGGAAAAAAAAAAAAAATTTGCCCTTTTCTATAATATCAAATCCAGTGGCATTTTTATACATATCACATTGTCGTGTTCCTCCTCCATTAACAAATCTAACTTGGGAAATTTCATCTTTTTGGTTTAACCACATCCATCCAATTTCAATTTTTCTAGTTTTTTTTCTTGAAGTCCTTTCTGCTGACTGAGACGCAGATGCTTTCTCAGCAATTTTCGAATTTTTTTGCATCACCTTTTCTCGTAACTTTTCAATAAGGCTCATTTTTTTTGGAGCCAAATATTGTTTACAGAAATTTCTTAATTCTAGTCTATCTCCGTACCGAGGAATAAACTCTTGCAATTTAGATTCTTCCATAATTTGGATTGCAGGAACATCGATCTGTAAAATGAACATTGATTAACTTTGCTATGTTCATATTTTTACATATTAGACGCAGGTCATAGCAGGTGGCTAATTTTTTTAGAAAACGTATGTCGTATCTTTATCGAAAAACGTATTGTCAAAATGATTAATCAAAGTTTTTGTAAAGCTGGTGCTCAATAATAGACGTGCCTTTTTTTCTGTCCCTCTCTTGATCATGGATTATTAATTAGTCACGTGTGTTTAACAGGTCAAAATATGAACTATAGTGACACAGTGTGTTATTGTGAATCGTGTGTTTTATAGGCAATCTGAGGTGCTGAATTCGATCACCTCTATACAAGTCGCGTACATCCACCTAAAATTCCGGAATTGTCGCGTTGTCAGTTGTCATTTGTCTCGAATAATCCAGCTGACGCGCCGTGGTCTAAATGTAAACATTTATCGAGCGAAATCCGTGACAGTAAAATAAATATTTTAATTTGATAATGATAATATTGTGTTATATCCTTGTAAAAAATATATTATTTTTATTCCTATCATTTCCCAATCCCATAAATCCCCCTATACCTACTCCCTATATTATCATATCAATATTGTAATGCGCGTCTACTTTGTTGCACGTATGAAGAAGGCTGTGGTGTTTACTATCTCAATCTCTGACACACTGATCGCTTTATTCGCTGCATCGCATCATAGCGGCATGCCGCGCCGCGCTGATTCAATTTTCTTTGGTTTTTAAAAAAGTATACAGCCCAAACTAAACGTCGTATGAAATAGTATAAAGTTTTCTCGACTGGATAAGAAATGTAATTTCTCAAAATTTTTATACCTGCCTTAGTTTTGAAAATATCGATTTTTTTCCATAACCTCCATTTTTTTCAACTTTTAAGCAGCTAAACCATCCTGTACATTACATCTAGCAGCTTTTGCTGCTGTTTGATATACCCTACGATATCCTGGTTTATTTCCAATGAAAAAAAATTACTAAAATAATGTGGTGTCCAGTGGCGTACTAATTATCGCCTATTTTCGGAATAATCTATTAATAGCTCACCAATGTTCACGTTCAAAAGGGCATAATTTTTTAAATATTCATTTAAAGTTCCATTTGTTTACTTCACTTTGATCATTGAGATATTGTTAACAAATCGATTTCTCGAAATTTTGATATTTGCCTTTGTTTTGAAAAGATCGTCTATTTTACATATACCAATATTAATTTTTTGAATTTTTTCGTTCTAAACTATCCTGAATTGTCCTTACCAGTAAATTTTGTTAGCAATTGTCATAACTTTCCTCAAGCGTATAAATTGTGATTAGAAATATCGAATACCTCAATGATATGCTGTTCAGTGGGGAGCTAATAAAAATTAATAATTACTGCGATTGAGAAGTTTAAGATATTCCGAGCCCATTCCGCGGTGTGGTAAGAGCCGAATTTTTTGTCTTTTGCTGAATTCTTTTGTAGCTTTAGCACCCGAAGGGTTTCCAAAGAGCCATGTTCTCCTTGTGACAGCGCTTAGCAGGTGGCCTCGTTACTAAAATAATTGTCCTATCGGAGTAAAGCTCATCCGCATTTCACCGCAGAAATTACTCCGATAGGTACGACAATGGCTGAGTTCGTTTATTACATCTGCGAGCAAAATGAGCAAATTTTGACAGATGTCATGTGATAACTTATCTCTTTTCACATATCAAATCACGTGACATCTCTCAAATGTTGCTATTTTGCTCGCAGATGTAATAAACGAACTCAGCCAATTTTAGTAACGAGGCCACCTGGTTAGCGTTGTCACAAGGAGAACATGGCTCTTTTAAAACCCTTTGGGGCTGAAGCTACGAAGAAAATCAGCAGGTGATAAAAAATTCGGCTTTCTTTTCTTCTGACCACACCGGAATCAGCTCGGAATAGGTATTTTAAATTTCTCAACAGCATTAATAATTACCTATTAATTTTTATTAGCACGCCACTGTAAAGGATATCATTGAGGTATTCTATATTTTCCCGAAAGATTTGCTAATTAAATTGATTTAATCAAAAATAATACTTAATTTTTTTTTGCACGCCACTGTACAGCATATCATGGAGGTATTCGATATTTAACTATATATATAACTGTCACTTTACCGCATAGATCTAGAATATACTATTATAAGTTCAGAAATTAACAAATGTTGATTTAGTACTATTTTTTTCTCATTGTTTCTATTAAACTTTTTTCTCGGATTTTTTTTTCGACTTTCAAAATATTAACATATTGTCGACAACAAACTGACTTTGGGTTACTGATTGTCCATGCTCAGAAAGCAACTTTTTTCCAAAATTTGTGGCCACCGCTGTTTGAAATGTACCTAAACAAGAATAACGTTATTACAAATGGGTATAATCCTACTATACAGGATGGGCCGATGGAAACTTTCCACCCCGATTTTTTGGACTTGAAATGAAAATCTGGAAAAAAGCTGGGACACGTCGATTTTTGATTTGAGGGGGAACTATTTCCCAGTTTTTTCATCCCTGTAGCATTAACCCCCTAGCTGGGGGGAGAACAAACCCCAAACTTGAATAGGCCTCATCGAGTTCTTTAAGACCCTAGAATTTCATTTGAAGTCCAAAAAATCGGGGTGGAAAGAATCCATTGGCTCACCCTGTATAATCCTATCATGAGTTTATATAGATATCATGTAATTCAAAAAAGTTCTCCTCTAAGCTAACAAAGTAATATAGTTCTAACACTTTTAGTATACTTAAGCTGTTACATTTTTGTGTAAGTATTTACAATGAAAATTTTAATTTTTTCCCAACTTTTGTTCGAAAAAGTTTCTGCATGCTCTTCTTTTAACATCATACATTCATTTTTCTTTGGAGCAATTTTTCTTTTTAAGTGATCTTTGAAGTAAGAAAGTGCCATTTTTTTCTGAGTTTCTTTCCATGGCTCCAAAATACGCTTTTTACCTCTTGCTGCTTTTTCCATCACTGAACAATCTGTTGCCTAAAATTTTCAATAAAAATTTATTATGAAACTCAAGTATATGTACATATAACTCCAAAATTAAAAAAAATCATAGTTACTAAATATTTCAGAGTTTGGAATTAAAGTTCTTCTATTCATAGATGCCTATATGTCTTCGCACATTGAATGTGAAAAATTAAATAATGTTTAATTTTGAATACGAGAAAATTCAGACTACAAGATGCATGTTTCTAATTATTATTCTAGTACAGGATCATTTTTAATATATGCGTACCCTTCTACAGGTGTTACTATAAGACAGAACAAAAAAATTTAATATTTGCTTTTAGAACTATCATAAAAAAAAGACACACGCATCGCAAAATTAAAAACAATTGCAAGTTCTTTTATTATTTGCCCCAGGACGAAACATGCCCTTCCCATGATTTCGAAAATAGGTAACATGCCTACATTTGATTTGGCCGGTTTTAAACTATTTGAGTTTGAAATTTCGCATATTCACATTGAAGTAGATATGTGGAACAATTCGTAATCTCGATTATTATCAATTAAATTTATCAAAACTTTGAAATCAAATATTTAAAAAAACGTCCGCTTCAAAAGTTGACACACTCTATATTTTTGAAATTAGAGGAGAGATCTTTCGTTCTGGAGGAAATATACAGGGTGTTTCATTTAGAAATGTAACTTGCAATTGTTTCCCAACTTTGCAATGTACGTATGTTTCTTTTAACAAGTCTTAAAGATAATAGAGGATTTTTTTCTCTTGTATTAGAAGTTCTTTTCAGTCACAGTAAAACTCCTGTATGTGGGTGCGCGAATGTAAAAAACGACAATAGCCAAAGTTTGTTATTGATTTTAAAATACGAAGGCGTAGAGGAGCCAAAAAAATTAAAAGTTCCAATCAAAATCGACTTTGATTTTTGCAATTCTTAAGCTACGAACCTACAATTGTAACACTGAACCTACAATTGTAACTTCGAAGCTACAATTGTAACTTCGAAGCTACAATTATAACTTCGAACCAACAATTGTAAGTTCGGCCATGCTTGTGATTTTTTTAACACGCTTATATTAGCTTCACCTGTATGTATGTATGTATGTTTGTATGTTTGTATGTTTGTAAGTAACATCGAAAATATTTATCACACGGGTACATAGGAATGCGTGCGAACTTTTGCACCCTTGGGAAGTGTATGAACAAGAACCTGGAACAA